CACCGCTGCCCTCAGCCCCCTCGGAGACACAAAGTATTCATTCACATTTAGATCCTGAGGTCACAGCAGGGCCAGCAGGGAGAGGCCAGCGAGTCCCCCCGTAGACAGGTCAGGAATCTAGCACGTAACTCCGACCAGCGGCGCTGAGGTAGCTTGCTCTTCTTTCCTTTTCAAAATGTGAAAGTGTGTGGGAGAGGGAGAGGGAGAGTGAGAGCATGAGTGAGGCAAAAAAAAAAACTGATGTACTCTCATTTTGTGTGTCTAGTGTTTGCTGAATTTCCTGACACCTCACTACATTGATCCTGATGTGTACTAATGTGCATTTTTACTCCACTTTCTGCAGCTATAAGGTCCATACAAATGAGCACAACTTTCTACGGTTTCAGGTTTTATGCATGGCGGTGTCATTACGGTCGCTGATGACACGACGTTGTGGTTTATCGGTTGTTTGTGAGCAAAAAAAAAAAGCCCCCCCCTACTCTTCTCTTGTCTCTTGGCTGGGGTTGTGGGCATGTTTTGCTCAGTTGTGGTTTTATGAGGTGTAGCTTGCGAGGGACGTAAGGGGAGAGCTTCTGTGAGAAGGGGAGGGTGGTGGGTGGGAGTGTTTTCCTGTGTGTTGTGCTTTTAAAGGGGGTCTCGCGTATGGGGGCGCAGAGGTGCTGATATGAGGAGCGGACAATGCATGAAAGCCCTCAGCATGGGTCCTGTGTCTCATTGTCCCCGTGGTACCCTCCTGTCACTTTCATTTTGCGCCCTCTAGTCCAGAGTCAGGCCAACTTTGATATAAGGAAGGGGTGCAAGGGATGATGGGGGAGCAGGAGGGGGATTTTTTTTTTTTAAAAAAGGAGAGGTAGGGGAGAAAGATAGAGTCTGTGAAGTGTGAAATAAGATTGCTTTTTATCCGACAGTGCAGCGCTAAAGAAAAGGAAGCTGTCCGGCCCTGGATAAAGCAGGGGGGGAAGCTCACCTCTCTGATTTACAGTGCGCTCCTGTGACACCTGGTTAAAATGATAACAACAGCCTCAATAATCATAATGAGAGTAATGAGAGCTTAGACACACAGCTCCACACAAGAGCCCAGAGAGTAGCAGAGCTCAACCCTCGCTCCCAGCACTTGAGAGCCGGCGAGAGGGAGAAGCTCGGCTCAGCCCCCGCGCTGGTTCTCCACAACTTACGAAAGCCGAGATAGATAAGACAGCGTTGTTGACTGAGATACTGTATATGCAACAACAACAACAACAACAACAAAAAGAGCAGCCTGTCACTGCTGTCTGAGGAACACTGGAGCCATTCTCAGGTAGGACCGCGATTCTGTACTTTAAGAAAAGGCAGTTATCATCACAGCAGTATATTCTGCTGAGGCCGAGGATGGAGGAGGAGCCTGACCTAGTGAAAGATATCTAGAGTGACTATTATTACTTGCTGCTGCTCTTCTCTACAGTCTGGGAAGGAATACTGGAAAGTGCAGTGGTTACCATCAATTATTTATTTGGCCGTTTGTGCTTGTCAGTCTGATTAGCATTAGTGTAATCACTGCTCTTCAGGGGGAAGGAAGGCTGCTCTCTCTCATCTGAAGGTAATCTTGCCATTTTCAGTGTCTCATCTCCACCGGACGGCTCTTGCATAGCATCTGCTTTTGTCATCTCCACATATTTCTTCCCTTTTCCTTCTTCCCCGTGTCTCTCTGTCTGTTGCTGCTCGGCCCCGTCCCTCCCCTCCTCCCCACCACCTCCTCCTCCCCCCCTGCACCTCATTAATGTGTGTGAGCAAGTTGCTCTCTCCCAGCTTGTATAGAGTGACACCTATGGGTCTGATTAAGCCTCTGCACTCACTGGCAAAACACAAGAGGGGAAGACCGCTAAGCGCCTCGGTGGTGTACGAGTGTGTGCGTACGTACGTCTGCGAGCGTGTGTGTGTGTTGTGTGTGTGTGTGTGTGTGAGATGCTGGAACAGAGAGCCCATGAACTGTCCCCACTGAGTGACTGGCAGAGCAAAGCTGATATTTATATGCTCAGAACAGATGAGTGTAATCTCTGTGTCGGCAATGGGCTTATTCAGCTTGCATGATTAGATTAATGGAACTGTTTCATATCATTGTATTAGGATGGTTAATGAAGACAATTAATTAGAAGACAACCTTCAGGCTATTGTCCTTTACATCTCTCAGATTTGGGTTAGAAATGGCCTGCTGCCATAGCTTTGAGTGTTTCTCCTAATCTATTTTCTGAGTTAATCTACGGCTACAGTTTTAGTGTCTCCTCCATTTGCATCCTACTCTTAGGCCACTCATGACCTTTCATTAATTATAGTCGGCCCGGCTTTAATCATTCTGTAATACTGTTGTAGATGAGACGAGAAATAGGCAAAGCCATTTGGCACTTAAAGATGTAACGGTGCTCCTGGAATTAAATGTCTGCATTTCTGCATAAATTATGGATGGGGCTCTGCGTTGCGTGTGCTAGAAGTGTCACGTATGTTGATTAAACATCTAGAAAGAGAAGTATAGAAAACATGAGTTAAAAAAAAAAATAGGAGCGCACACGTGTGCATGTACAGTAAGCGTGCAGGACGCTGGGGGTGGGTACAAGGAGGCTGATAGCATTAGAATGCTGGCTGCCTATCACAGTAATGTTTAAGCACAACCTGTGTGTGTGTGTGTGTGTTAATGTGTAGGTGGGGAATTAGTCTCACTACAAGTGTCACATAGCTAAGAAATGACACCTTGCCCCGTTTTTTTAAAGGTGAAAAAATTTACCTGGGGATTATTTTGTAATCTGAGCACCTATGCAGCTGTACAGTATCCTAATTCTCGCACAGTTGTGGAGATTTATGCAGGCAGGAGTTAGATGGGATTTTGGGACTCTACAGCAGATGTCTAGTTTTTTTTTTTTTTTTTTCTGGGAGTGTTTTGAGATCAACCTCACCAGCATGGGATGGGCTGCACTGGATGGAATTCATAGGTTGCCTTGGAAACATAATAGAAACTTGTTTTAAAATGAACTAAAAAAAAAAAAAGCATTTGCGTGTGAGATCTAAGGTACACTCAAATATGCTTTTTACTAGGAGCCAGTCATCCCTTTTAAATAAATATCTGTATTTAAATGCGGGATCACTTGGATCACAGGATTGGCTTTTAGCTGTAATGTGTTACAACAAAATCCATACACCTATCACTCTGCTCAGACAGCTGTTTCCTGCAACAGCTGTATCAGCAGGCAGGCGATGGAGGACACTGCTCCTGTCTCGCTAGTTGTACAAAGGTGCTCTCCATTGACTTTGATTTTCTATTTCTTTCTTCCTCTTGTAAAAAAATAAAATAACACAATAACCCCTCGTTCATAAGCACACATCTGTGTCTAGAATAACACAACACTGTTATGGTAATAAACGCCTCCTGTGATTTTAAAGCTATAGTGTGCAACCCTTAAACAAAGAAGATCGTTTTAAATACGCTACGAGAATTGCAAAATAGGCGTTAGATACTGGTAAATGTCCAACCTTTTTCTTTTAAGCTACTGAGGAGGAGACACACACACATACACGGCGGGGAATGAAATGTCAAATAACAAAACATTAATTTCCTTTTAATGTATTTTTCATTTATAAACATGACTTATTTGCACGACACGTTTCCATTTCCTCATTCGGCAGAAACAAGGAAAAAAAACCCGAGATGCTCCTGAATATTTTATTTACGAGTAAGAATTGTCCTCAGGACTGTGAGGATAGCCATGTGATTGTTCAGAGTGTGTCTGTGTGATAATGACACACACCAGAGTCTGAGCGTATGATGTCAACTGCGTGTTCAGTGTATGCAGTGTTTCGTAACTGACGGGATAAACAGCGAGTGCCGGGGATAATGTAACGTCATAAAAGTGGTTTTGGCTGTGGGTAGTCATGTGGTGAGCTAAGATTGGATGTGTGATGACTGCAGGGCTGAATACTTGAACAGGATATTTCAGTAGCTGTTGTAGCTTTGTCAATATATCAATAGCTCATAGAGTAGAGACCTAAGCATGAAAGCATTTTCAAAAGAGCATTTAAGTACATTTGCTGAGAATTAGCTGACTTGTGTAATAACTGATAGGGCCTATTGACTGCGGCCTAGTTTACTGTTGTCAAATCAATGCTATTGCATGCAAGTCCCACTACTTTTAAACAAACTTAACAGGCAGAGGGGATGTTCAGGGGGCACTGGAGGGAAATAAACAAGATTGATGCCCTTTTTATTATCTGTTTTTGCTATCTTTTCCTCTGTGTGTTACTTACAAATGGCGTTATTGGATATCCATTGTTTGGACTTCGATGCTCCTAAATGGCCTGATATATCGAGCTGAGGCTTTTAAGGTGGTTACATGGGATTTCTGCCTTTGACTTGGCATAAAAAATAAAATGAATTGTGGCTTTGAAAGTTTAAATATTTATGATTTTTTTTTTGTTTTTTTTTTGCGCCATAGTAGGATAGCAGAAGTGAAACGAGGTTTGTGTTGGTAAGTAACCTAGCAGATTGCAGCGAGGGACCGTAAAGCGTGTGTGTTGTGTAAGAAACAGAACAGGGGCTTGTCTAATATAAGGTCTTTCTCTTGAAGGATGCTGCTCACACAATTATTTTTCCATCTGCCCACTTCAGGCCATATGTGTGCTTTTTTTTTATCCTGCAGTTAAGTCCACAAAACCACGTTTTGTATCATAGCTGTGAATACACAGATACAGCACAATAACAAGGAGAATTAATATGTGCCTTTTCCCCTCTTCCCTTATAATTCAAATCAGGGTTTTATAATTCGAGTCAAAATAAATTTCACAGTGATGATCAGACAGCACAGGACAGAAAGCAGAAAGCAGATTCTGCCCTCTTTGTCTGCTAGCCTTGCAACTGTGTGTCAGCAAATGTAATTGTTGCAAGCTCCTATAGAAAAAAACGCTGCCGTCCCTTTAAGTGCTTCCACCAATTCTGATGGCGTGGTGATTTACATATCCCGTTCTCCCTCCCCCTTCAGGAGAGCTGAGCGAGGATGTGGAGGCTGCTAGTGAGACCACCACAGACCAGGAGGACCAAACCAAAGACAGAGAAAGTGGGGGGGAGAAGGAGCTCACCAAAGGGACAGGTAAGGCCAATATTTACAGACATATTTAGGGATTACTAGTCACAGGAATCACGGGGGCCTTGCAGCTGAACGGTGCTGAACAACAGGCCTATTGTGGAATTAAATTAAACATATTTTACCAAAACATTGAGAGCCTTTTTTTTTTTTGAAAGCATTAAACACACTCTCTCAAAACTCCCTAATGTAGTTTTCTAAAGCTGCTCTTTCATGTTGCATGTTTCCAGGCCTGAAATCACATCAGATACAGTCAGGATGAACGTAGGTAGTATGTTCAGGGCGACATGTGACCCGTGTTTTGTTTTCAATCAACGGGTGATGTGAAGAGCACGGCTTGTATGTGCAACTCCAAACATGTGATAGCCCCCTTCTCAACTTTGTTGAACACACGAGAGCACGGACGACACTTACCTGCGTTTAATGCTGTCAGATCAGGACGGTTCTATCTGTGGTCCTCTGTAGTGACAGGTGGAGGTGGTGACTCCTAAGCAGGGGGTTGGGCTTAGCGTGGAGGGGGAGGAGCTTCAGGTGCAAAACAATCTCTGATCACGGGCCGGTCGGTTCAGTTTGAACATCTTTTGGAGATGTGCAGAGTTTCTCTTTTTTCTCCCCTGTTTGATGGATCGATTACCACACAGCATCCTGCACAGTGAAAACAGTTTAATGATCAAACCTTAAACTTTGCATCATGTTTGGGTGAAGCTGAGGGCTGCCTGTAAGGCCCCATGTGGTTTGGACCAGAAGGCCTGTGTGCAGTGGAAGATGGAGTGAACATCCAGTTGTTGAACTACTTGAGCAGGAACATTGTTTGTAATTGTTTTCAGATCACTGCTGTAGGAGTTAAATGAACGTCCTGAGCTTTTAAAGTATCCCCACAGATTGATATGAGAATGAATTAAGCATGATCTGAGTTTAGTTTGAACGTAGACTCGTGCCACACGGTGCATGATTCATCATTTTTGTTTTTGCTGATTATATTTAGATTTGTGGGGCAGCGTAAATGAAATTTTGCTTTAGTTTTTCTCTTTTTTTTTTTTAATGCACAATTTACTTTGCGTGTCTGTGTTAGCAAAACATTGCTGGCAGTTGAGACGTCTCTTATTCAACGGAGGAGATTTCTGATAATGATGACACTGAACGGTAACAGGCCTGGATAGATGCTTCTCACTTGTCTAACTTCTTGTGTTACTGCGGGATGTTTTGATTTACACTAGTCAGGTTAAAAGCTGGAAAACAATTCAGACCTTTTGCATACCTAAGTTTTTATAAAGTGCAGCAGCAAAAAAAAAGAAAAAAAAAAACTTCATCACAGTGTTTGAAGCCCAGCCTTTGTAAAATGTCTTTGATATTCGAACTTCTATTTTAAATGAGGCTGAGTTGTTTGTGCTCTTTGAAAGGGCGACACTCTTCTTTGATGGAAGAAATAATGATATGCATGCCTGACTGAATATGGCTAAAAGTATGTTTTAGCACATCAAAATAAAGCACTTTAAAAAGCATTAAAATGAGCTGGCCGATTAATAATTCACTCATACCTGTGGTGCACAGGAAGACGACTCCTCGCATTAGGATTCCTCCTTTTTGAAAGGCATGCAATTTGATACAAGCATATTCAGTTCCTTTCCTCCCCTCTGTCAGTCGCTAATCACCAAATAAGTGTGTTTCTGTGTTTTCACAAAGGAAATATGTGCTTGCATATGAAAAATTTACAGCTTCCCAGCAGCTTATTAGAAACGCTTAGTTAAAAATAGCATTGCATTAGGGAACCAGGTCTGAGGTTCTGTTTGATGTCAGTGAAAAGGTGGGTGGGTAGGATGGGGTGGTGGGTTCAAGGCTGTGTTGTCAGCGAAAGGTAGACAGCTGTAGTTTAATGGAAGGGTCTCTCTCTTTTTTTGCATTTCAAACTTTGTGTGATTGATGAACACAATGCCCAGTCAAAGCCAGCGTGGTGTCTTGTAGGGGAAGAAACAGCTTGTTTGGTGATCGTGTGAACATGTTGTACAGTAAACACATAGAATGATGTATATATTAAAATACAGTGTGTGTGTGTGTGTGTGTGTGTGTGTGTGTGTGTGTGTGTGTGTGAGGCTTTTGGCCAACCTGTTATTTCTATGAAAGGTGCTCAGTCCCCCCAACCGTCTGAGGCTGAGCTATTTCTAAGGTCCATCATTAGAACTACTGAAGTATTTCTTCTCATCGTTGTCATGTAGCTGTTGGAACAGAGCACAACATTGTTCCTTTACAAATGACAGTCACTGTCAGACAGACGGCATTAGCGAACGCAGAAAAAAGGCTTCCTCCTTTTTAAAGCCACTGTCAATCTTATTTTTCTCTTTCTTGTTCCACAGCTCCTCAGTATTCATTAAAATCATTTAGAGGTACATCAGAAGCCTTTGTAAAATGCATATGTATTCGGCATGTCATCTCGTGAAAGATGCCTTCATTATTCTGTTGTTTTTTTTTTTTATTTATCTCAGAGATAATACATATATGTGCGTGTAGAAGCATTGAGACATATGTAAATGTCACATGCTCCCAACGCTGCACACAATATGTGGGGCAACTTTTTTTTGTGATTATACAGTATATTATGTCAGGTATATATCCAGACATGAGAAATACTTACATTTAAAAGTAATGACAAGTGGAAGAGTAGAATTTTTTAATGTATTTGGACACTGATGTTCACGTTGGCAGCAGCCGCAACTGAATCATCCGGCGTGATTAGTAATTCAAAGGGTCATTTTTAATGCTAGGTATGAAATATGTATAAACGGATAGCCACGAGCCTCTTCTCCTCTCCTCTCACACTTTCCTCACCTAGCTGAGACAGCACCAGCTAAAGGGAAGAGTTTCTGCATAGGAACGGGATGCTCACCTTCATTAAAGCAGGTGGTGTATTTATGCAGCAGCCGAATGTATGGGAATGCAGCAAGGAGCGAAGGCAGGAGGGCGGCGGATGGCAGGAGAGGAGAGGAGGATTGTTAATACACCTGCAGACGTGGGTACAGCTGACATGTTTCACGTAAATGTATGGGACGTGTTGTACGGGGACGGGGGGGTATGTAGAGGTCAGAAAAGTGTAGTAGGATGGTGGTCCTCTGAAACTGATAAATAATTCTTTAACTTTTCTTACATTCAATTGGATGAAAATGTGTATTCGGACAGGTTTATCTGCATTCTGTGACCCGAAACACCTCAGAGACCAAACAGACTTATAAAAACTAAGGACAGCAAATGTTAAAGTCAGAGTTATATATATATATGCATATACAGTATTTGAGTGACCCACAGTTTAAGACAACCCTTGGCAGTTCTATAATATCTCACTCAAACGTGATCATATCCTTCCTTACCCATATATATTCATGTATAGGATTTGTTGTTTGTTATTTTGCCTCGGCTGACCAGGTAAACACAATTTGTGAATCTGCGTCCATTTGAGGATGTTTTTCAAACCCGCTGCTCGTTACTGTTGTTAAGTATGTAGGAGTATTTTGACAGAGTTTTGTGGAGCACCAATTAAAGATGACACGCAGGTTCCAATTTAGCATTCGATTAGCTGCTGCTGCTGCTGCTTGTGTGCAAATAGTTGTGATACTTTCCTGCTGCATCAAGCCCATAAACATATTTACTCACACACATTAGTCTCTTGTTTTGTTTTTTTTGTGCAGGAGGTGCCAAACCTGTGCTTTGTTCGATGCTTTTACGGGAGGTTTTCACGCAGATGTGTTAAAATATTGCTGCAAACTATTTTCAGTTAACTACTGACACTTAACCTGTGAAGCTGTGAGCAGCTCGATGTGCAAACAGGACTTCTACATGCTCCCTATCTACCTGCTTTTTTTGTGTGAATGTAAAGCAGATGCTGTCTTCCAGTCTGTCGGCTGCTGCTGCTGCATTTAATCTGTATAATGAACATGATGATTAGCATCCCCTAGACGCAGCTCTGTGGCATTGCAGTCTGCTCAGTTTTTTTTTTTTCATACTGCTCCATATTATGCAGTTAGTCTTGTGCTGTTGCTCATTCAGAAACAAACACAGCAAACGTTATAAATTGCTCTCCGTGTAACCGTGCAGAAACGTGGCCTTTAAATATTAACCGTGGTTGAAAGTTGAAATTGCACGCTTATGGTTAGTTACAATCAAATTATTCAAGTTTATGTTATTGTTGCTTTAAACCGGGAGACGTTCGGCGCGGCGGTGATTTGTTGGCGCTTTTAAACCCTAAGTAGGATGAGAAATCAGGAGACGGAGCAGCCAAACTGTTTACATATTCATATCACGTCCGTTCAGTGTTTGTCATCCCTCAAATTATAATTCCTTTTGTCTTTGAAGATAATAGGCCATAAATTGTCCTTGTTTGTGAGGCACCTCCCTGAAAGCTCAGTGTTTATGAGTTTTAGCACAGGCTGTCTAATAGCCTAGCACTAGCGCTGTGTCCTGTAAAGGTGAACAACTTGTCATCCTGTTGTTCGGTGGCCTATGGATTAATAACGCCTCAGCTAATTAATACCTCTTCTTAATTTCGGCTGCACCACACACGCCACGTCCACTCCCTTCTAATGCATGGATAAAGATTTATAAACAAATATATATGTAGTATCAGGTTTTTAGCTGAAGGATTCTATGTTCTTTTTATTATTTTATTCCTACAGAATAATTAATAAAGATGAAATGGAACACTGCCCTTTATTGCTTTGGGCTCTGACACCAGCTGTAGATTAAAAACCTGGATAGAAGTGAGGGAGGGGAAAGAAAAGACAATATTCAGGTATTGTTAGCATAGCACTAAAAGAAAATGACTTGTAGCACTGTGGGAGTTGAATCATCTCCATATTAATGGCCAACTTGCCGAGGGGACAGAGGTGAGGCTTTTCTGCGGCGCGAGGAGCAGAGGGGGAGTCGGAGGGTCTCGGCAGCGTGAAGGTGAAAGGTTTCCGAGAGTCGGGGATCAGAGGAGACGCCAGAAAATGTGCCGACTGAGGATCCTCGAGTTTTGCGGACTAACTGTCGGATGAATTTAAGTTTGGCGTGATTGGCAGGTTGCTGCTCTTCTGGGCAAAGTGACAGTAAAGTTCTACGGGCTCGCTGGCATGGACAGAATGGATGTTTTGTTTTTTTTACAATCTTGAAGCTGCCGTGGCGAGACAGGAGCTGTGATAATGAGAGAGGGGAGATAATGAGGACCTCATCGGGTCAGCAGGAGAGGAATTCCCCTCCAAAACACAGGAACTCTTATCTGTGGCGTCGTCTCCCACATCCTTACAGATTGTTTACTGTAACTTGAATATGGATAACCTTTCCCAAGGACAAACATTAACGGCAGCTGTGATTGCACTCCGGGAAAATTTCAATGGCAGATGACCCGTTGTGGTTAATTCAGTCTGTGCTGTGTCAGTCACTCTGTCCAGCAGCCATCTTTCTTTTCTTTTTTTTTTTTCCCCTTGAAAGCACAACAAGGCTGTGATTGCTCCAGAGACCAGTGCAGTGTGCTGACAGCCCCTTTGCTGCTTGAATAATACAGTCCAGCTATGGGGGAGAGACAAGGTGCCAAAGTCCAATTCACTTACGGGACTCGACAGCACAAAAGCCTCTGGTTTACGGAAAAGGGGCATGAATTAATAATCACCTAATTGACTCTTAGGGTTTTTCCCTCCACTCTTGCTCTGCCTTTTGTGCTTTCAAACAAAAGCCCACCCTATGTATCTGTCAGAAGATGTTTGGTGTGGATGGGGGATCTGTGTCTAAAGACCGGCCAAGAGAGGTCGGGGTAAGAGACGGACTCCCGGCAGACATTAGGGCCACTGACGGATCCGTAGTCGTGACTGTGCAGGACTCTGTGTGTGAATGGGATTGTCGATGTAACCGACCGCTGAGGTTTAAATACAGAAACATACTGTAGTTTTATTCTTTAAAAGCCATTTCCCGCTCCTAAAAGTTCCATTACAGCCGTTCGGGACCCACTGATGATAACTTCAAGAATAACTTTCTACAATAACTGCAATGTTGTATATTTAAAAGCAAAAAGCACAGAATCTTCTTCTTTTTAAAAAAAAAAAATAATCAACTTTCACACTTTTTGATTGTGTTTACCCCAACGTTCTCTCAATTACCCCCACCGGGACAACACCTGAAAGCAAACCTAGACTCTACCTCGACTTGTTGTCAGTGATTCTCCACATCCGTAGCGTATCCCACCGGGGACTGTTCTTTTTCGGTTCTTTCTCGCACCGTTCCTCTGATAGTCGTACATCCTGTTCCATCAGGACGCAATGTTTCGCTCATTGGTTCTGATCACCTGTTCACAGAGCAGACCCACATCTCCGCTCGGACAACGGCGTCCAATCTGACACGTTCGCAACACCGGGAAAAGAAACCGTTTTTATCTCTATTTCGACTTCAGTTATTTTTTTCATCACCCTTGACAAGAAAAAAGAAGCAGGATACAGTAGTTGGATGTTAGTCATGGTGCCGGTGATGGTGTCGGGGTGTGCTATCCTTAACAGAACGCGATTGATCAGATTTATGGAGTCCTAATTGGCCGTGACGAGGCAGACTGCATCGGAGTGAACCTCCATCTGCCCCGGCCTCTCCTCGTTTTTCCTCTTTCACACGCACATAAACATCCGAGCGGCTGAACTAGAAAGCGGGTTTCGGCCACTTCTGCCGCAGCTCTCCGGTGTCTTAGCGTAAACAGCCACTTGTTTCACCTCTTCTGGTGCTAATTGAGGAGTCGTGGAATGTACTTTTAATCAGCTATGTTTGTCCTCTTAATCATGAGGCTGAGAGGATGCTTGGTGCTTAATCCATGGTTACTTTCTGTACTGTATGTATGCACTTTGGAGCTGAGAGTTTTTCTTCCCCCCACATTTAAGCTCAAGTAATTCCCAGCAAATTGCAATTACAACTATTTAAGTTCTATCGAGTGTTTGATTTGTTTTTGTTCTGTCCTTTTCCCGTGGTGTGGAGAAAAGTGGCTCCTTTCCTTCATTGCATGGGTGGAACATGTAAGAAGTCAAGGGGCTGCCTGCTGTGTTAATGTAGAGGTGCACAAGTTACTTAATTATGATGTGCAGCAGCGAAAATAGATGGCGTTCCTCAAGAAAAGGTACTAGGACCCCAAAACTTTGGACCCAAACAGGTCAGACTGCCGACATGTGAAGGTGAGACCACAGATGACCGCTCTGGTTTTCCCCTCGAGGGATGAGTTCAGGGGGGTAGGAGTAGGAGTGGACTGAAGTGGAGCCGAGGAGGAATTGGTGAGGACAGTGCCATGACTGAGAGGTTAATGTCAGGGAATGGGAGGTTCCTTTTGTTTAACATTCCCTTTGTTTATTGGCGGATGTGTTTAATAGGATTGACTGTGACTGGACCCTAATAGGGCCTCCATGGCCTGATCCCGGTGTCTCTGGGAGATCTTGCAGGCTGCTCTGTCCAAAGCCAGGTCCCCCACTGGGTAATCAGCTCAACTGCCCTCGTCCTGATTGGAGCTGACGTTTTAATGTCTGGAGCAGGAGCGTGGTCAGCCCTGCTTAACCTGACCCCCAACAAAACCACCCCTCCCCTCACCAGCGCCCTCTGTTCTCAATTTGCCCTTCCAGGACTGTACAAATCAGGCCAAATTTAACTCTTTATGGGCTTGTTAGGGGTTGGCAAGACACCTCCTTAAGTTTCACAGTGAATTCTCTCCACTAGTGACAAAGCGTGGTGTTCCTGCAGCTCCCCCACAGAGGTTCTGTTTGGCTTCAGCTCCTCGGTGAGCTTAACTACTCGACCGCTGTTTGCCGCCTCTAGTTTCTCCTTTCTTTTATAAAGTGGAGTAGTTTTAAAGTGGTTTGCAGAGGCCGTGCTCTGCAGACACTGAAGGAAAGAGACGTGGTATTTTGTTAATATCGACATTGTTTGCATTGAAAGGGTTAGCCGTCCGATTCGATGTGCGAGATAGAAAAACACTTGAGGTAACTGCATAGAAAGGAGAAGACTGGCTGACATCTGTAGCCGCTTTTTAGAGTTTCACAGACCACAGCATAGCACTGTTTTAATGCCAACAATGAGCCTGATGGTGTGTTTTTATGAACATTTCTGAGCATGTTGTTGTACACAACCCAACTGTGGAGAAGTTTTGAGATTTGCTCAGGTGTTTTTTTTTTTTATTATTTTTAAGATTTTCTCATCTTGCTGTTTGTCTTTTACTTTGTGAGAGCCGAAGAGCTGAAATATTTTCCAAGCTGGGTCGAACTGTTGGCACGGATAAAGACATTTCTTTCTTGATTGTTTGATTCCGCTCTTGAAATTCATTTTGATGAGCAGAACTGGGATTTTTTGGTCAGGAATCAAAAAAATCTGATGAATTTAATTCCCTGTGGAGCTTTTTTTTTTGACCACATGGACAAAGCAGAGTTACATGCAGACAAACGTGGTTGCAAACAACAAAAGTGTTAGCTCTGTTGTATATATGCTCATTTTACAATATCAAGATCCATTGAAGTAGCTCGACCCTGATGCGGCTCTGTCGACCCTTCTTACTATATGATGAGGTTGCGAGACGTTTGTGTACCTTGTCTCAAGTTTAGAAACTCATGTGGACTGAAAGTATGTGGTGGTGTGAAACCTATATCTGCACCCTGTGGCAAACTAATATTTTTATTCGCTGTTTATGGGGTTGTATTATATCGTGACAAGCCAACATTGAATAAGACGGTCCATCAGAGCACGTTGGCTGAGCGTCCCTCAGCAGCAGCAGCATGAGAAGACAATGTAAAGGGAGTGTGTGTGTGTGTGCTTTGTTTCTTTTCTTATGCGAAGACATGAGGTGGATAACAACACTTTCTCTGCCCAATTCCCATTAAATGCACTTATATCACATTTAAGAAAGACATTCCAAAGCCCTTTATCCACAGTGTTATTGATTGACCTGCTCCCAGGCTGCCAAGTCCTCACCTTGTCTTGACATGTCTGCTCTCCTCTCTCTCTATCCCTCCCCGTTTGTGTGTCTGTTCAGCTTTGTCCGGCCACTTGGAACGGCACCAGTCAGATTCCCCGATCCCTTCCAAGAGGCCCTCTTCGCGGTCGGAGACCTCCGAGAGCCCGCTGTCCTCGAAGCGTCCCAGGACGGCTGAGAAGGGCGCCGCGGAGCAGGTGAGAGCTGCAGGATTATGTTTCATACAGAAACCCTCACATGTTCATAAAACCCTGTTTTTCCAAACTCTTTGAATTAGGGGGTTTCTAGCTAAAGGTTATCTCATCCTCAATTATCAAGCGCTCATTATAAGTCTAAAACTCACATCAATTAAAAAAAATGTAAAAATCTACTAATCATTTTCAGTTGGTTAGTTATCTCACTGACCTTTTTATACTATGCAGAACTTTTTTTTTTTTTTTTCACCCCCCAAATCTACTCAAAATTATTTTAGCCTTTCTACTGCAGTTGCACTGCTAATTGTGTATAAGGTGGAAAATCAATATAGCATTTGACAGATGAGAGCACTTTGAAGTGGGTGCCAAGACTCAGTGGTGCTCAGTATTACACACTTGTCTGTGATCAGAGGGATCTGCCTGCTTGAGGGATGGGGGCCCCACTCTTCTCCCTGATCTACAGCTTCTCTTCACGCAGGCCCACTGTGCTCACCGCACCTATTCCACCCGGTTAACGCTTTGTGGATCTGTTTCCTCCCCCCTCTCCCTCCTGTTACTTCCTCCACCCAGATGTACCAGTGCCCCTACTGCAAGTTCACCAACACGGACCTGAATCGCCTCAGAATGCACGTGATGACGCAGCACTCTGTCCAGCCCATGTTACGCTGCCCGCTATGCCAGGACATGCTCAACAACAAGATCCACCTGCAGTTCCACCTCACACACCTCCACAGTGTGGCTCCTGACTGTGTCGACAAGCTCATTGCGACAGTAAGTCCTGTGTGCGCTGTGTGTGTGTTTTTGCCTGTGATTGCACACGGTGGTTGGAGAAGTTGTTGATACGGTGAACATGTTCATTTTTGATATTTCCCAGTCAGCAAGGCTTTCTTTTTTTTCCCTTTAACCAATCTGCATATTTCAAGGTAACCTGAAGTTGGCCTTTTTTCGTTAGAGTGGTATATATTAGCTTGCCATGGCACGTATTTTTTATTCTGATTATCTAGTGCCACAGCAATAGAATACATAAGCATGTGAGTCAATGAATTCAGCAGAGGAAAGTAGATGGATGAACAAATGGCCTTGCCACCTGTGCAAGCTATATGTATATATATATCACCTATCCATGTTCTGATTTCGATTCCTCTATCCAGTGAGCCACATGTCTAATGTTTTATTGTCTCCACGGTCATTTATATTTTGTATTGGAGGCAAGAAGACCACAGCTAGTCTCTGTGGCGCTGTATAGGCCCAGTATATTGCTACTTACACACATTATGGCCGGTCAAACTGCAGGCAGGGGGTCAGGTCAAGGACCAGCGTAAGGATTCAGCAATGCCAAGAAGATGAGTAACTCGCTCTTAATGAATCCCTCACCCTGGAGCGGTTGCCTGGCTGTGAGAACAATTGTCATTCCTCTTGTTACTGCTCTAAATTGCCAGCATTCATTCTTTTATAAAACACAAAGAATGCTGTTAATTGTGAAATGGCTGCAGGCAATCCCATTGGCTTGTTGGAAATAATTAGACCTTTCAAGATGCATATTTTTCCTGTCTCCTCCATTGTCTTAATGCACCCATCGTCTTTTCAAGCTGTCTCGTAATCACAGCCATTTGAGGAAGGAACCTCATAATCTGTTTTTGTATTTTTTTTTAATGATTTCAAGATGAGCAGGTCTTTTGGCTCCCGTTCATTTATTACCTCACTGACATTATTGCTATGTCAATGATCACCTGCGTGCTAGTCAAAACAAAGGCTTTCACTGTGAATGTTCAGATAATTGTGACACAGATTAATCAAAATGTAATGAACACTTACTACTTCATGTGATTTCACTAAAAGCTCTGGAGATATTATGTGCAACCCATCAGTAGGAATCAAAGCGGATATAAAAAAAATATGCATATAGACTGTGAAGAAAAATGGTTTCAGGTTGCTTTTGTGCAGCACTGCTCCTCCAGTAAATAATGTGTTAGATGTGTAGCATTTGGAGCTCGAGTCATGTCTTCATTTTTGACTCTGGCGTTAGATTTATACCCACTGCAGTGCACCCTTTTCCACCTAGAGAGAAAACTTAGCTTGCTTCCTTTAATGCTCATCAAGGGGAAATAAAATTTTATTTTCCCTGTTTTCTTGTAAATCACTGAGCAAATCTTTGTCCTCTTCCACCCCGTGAAGCTAAATAGCTTGCCGGACAATCACCGAATAAAACATTGCTCTGTCTGCTGCCTAACCATCTTCATCCCCCATCTAGAAAGTAAATGGCAAGCGCATTAGTATAGTAGACGGCAATATTTATTTCTTTTATAGAGGTAGTAATGTACTGAACCACTACAAGAGGAGATAGAACAGAGGTAATATAACACGCATTAATCCAGCACCTTTTTATAACTGGTGAATGCAGATGGAAAGGTACTTTATCCTTTTCACATGTCTACGGAGAGGAGCCTAATTAATTCTGAAATAGGTGACTTTTATTTCTTGCCAAGCATGCATAATGATGCGTTCACTCTCCCACCCTTCATCCCTTCGTCCACCTTTTGTCTTTTCGCTGCCTCCTTTCTTTCCACCTCATGTCTCTCATGCCTCCGTCTCTTATGCAGCACATATACTGTACGTATAGCAGCCTATATACTGTACATAATACACACACACACGCCTCCTGTCCTCCCTCTCTCATTCTATGTCTCATTTTCTGTCTGTGTAAGATAGGGGTAATGAAAATAATTGTGCTTCATTAATTCTGAGTCTGGCTGGATGATAGCCATTTTGAACTATGTTTGCCAATTAGGCGGTCCAAATTAAAAGTGACCTTGGGATACTCTGCTCTTCCCTCTAATCGCCTAATGAAGCAGTTGTCTAGAAACAGTACACTTTGTAATGTAAATCATCGCTTTTTTGTTTTGTTTTGCGAGTTTCCGTTGCATTCGTTTTCTGCTTTTCATTTCCAAAAGACAAGAGATGTAAAAGACAATATAAATACGTGGATATCTCCAGACTTATCGTGTCGGATTTCGTGATATATAAAGTGTCAACCGTTCCACTTAACCTTGAAAGCCCTGTTGCCTCAGTGTGATTGTGCTCTATTTGAATGTGGCCTGTAGGCTATATGACATGCTACAGTACTTTCAGCTGTGTTCTCGGTCCCTGTGCATATTAGAGGAGTAATTAGAAAGCATATGGTGCACATGGTAGATTAACCAAAGCAGACGGATCTGACGCTGCACTCTCTTGCTTTTCGTTTATTTTTGAAACGTTCATTTTGATCAACAGCTGTAGATCAGATTTGATCGCTGTAAACTTATCTGTGTGTACGCTCACTTCACTACTGGTAGTTTTAGATCTGGAGTAGAGTGGAGGTGATGTTCTCCTTTTGCATCCAGTATGTTTGACATCTTTACTCTTTATTTTTATTTTTTTAAAGGACTACCAACACACTAAAGTCTGTAATGTCAGTCGATATAAGCTGACAAAGACAAAACCCCGTCTTCTAGTCATTCCCTTCTGCCGATGATTATTGTTAATTCGGGGACTTTTAATGAGGCATTTGGGTAAATTGCAAGATTTTGAGGTTGAGGGAGAACAACCCGAATTAACAGAGGTTGCCATCATTTATCCATGATTGACTCTACCCCTCTGAGAGCAAGGAGAACCCAGGGTCCTCTCTGTACTTTCATAATTAATAAGTTGTTCTTGATATCTTCCCTAATTAGAATTTTTTCCCCCCTCAAAACTAGATTCATACACCTTTATCATCAATTGTTTTCTTTTGATTTTACTGATTTATTAAGGAGCACACAGTCCAATTTATCAGTTCTTAAATGGAATCAGCTAACATGTACTATCATACCACTTTGTCATGACTTTGTGTTTCCTTTTGTTTGTGTCATTTAACCTGAAATATACCTGCGCAAGATTATTAACACTGAGTTCCTTTGTGCTTGTGTTTTTTTCCAGGTGACAGCAACTGAAGTACTACCAGCAAGCATGTTCATACCTGTACCGAGTCCAGACAGAGAGTCGCAGAGCACCCCTCATCCTACAGCCAACTCCAACTCGGAGGACACAAAGAGGCCAGCTGGTCAGTATCTTAGACGTGTGGGGGGTAACTTTAGGAAAGCTCACTTTTACCACCTAGTAGTAGGATTTACAGTAGATTCACTTGTGTGTTGTGTAATAAGCACATTGGCCTGTAAAATTTTAACCAAGTTTTCTGGCTTTATGACTTTGTATGCACACACTGGTGCCGTATGAAGTCAGTAGTTATTATACCGGCTCAGAATGAAGAATCTTTATTGCGGCGTTTTACCAAAAGAATTGGGTTTCTTTTTTACAGACTGTAATGAAAGAACAAGCAGTTCTTGTGCTTTGGCCTTCATTCACAACAAGACAAAATGAATGACAGTTGGATTCACAGAGCTTGTAGCTCGTCACAATTTGCTTCAGTGTCCTTTATTTGCATTGCTGGTTTAATTCCTCTCAGCGAATGTGGGAACCTAATGGACTGCCATCTTCTTTTGACTGATTTGTCCACAGATGCATCAGATGCTGATCCAGAGAAAGGGGTGTCTCTCCCTACGGAACCAGCTGAAGCTCGCAAGTCACCTCTGGAAGATCAACAGTCGGAGAGGGATGACGCTACAGGATTCCTGTGCTGGAAGAAAGGCTGTAATCAAGTGTTCAAGTCATCAAACTCCCTCCAAATGCACTTCAATGAAGTTCACAACAAGAGGCCCCAGTTGCCTGTTTCAGATCGCCACGTCTACAAGTATCGCTGTAACCAGTGCAGCCTGGCCTTCAAGACTGTGGAGAAATTACAACTCCATTCACAGTACCACGTGATCAGGGCTGCCACCATGTGCTGCCTCTGCCAGCGGAGCTTCAGGACACTACAGGCCTTGAAGAAGCATTTAGAAACCAGCCACCTGGAGCTGAGTGAAGCTGATATCCAGCAGCTGTATGGGGGATTACTGATGAATGGTGACATTATGGTCATGGCTGATCCATCCCTTGGTGAGGAGCATGGAAGTCTGGGAGAAGATGACAAAGAGGGAGATGAAAGTGATCCAGAGGAGAAACAAAGCCCAACAGGCAGCGACTCTGGTTCGCTGCAGGAAGATTCTGGATCTGAACCTAAACGAGCTTTGCCATTTAGAAAGGGCCCCAACTTTACAATGGAGAAGTTCTTGGATCCATCTCGTCCCTTCAAGTGCACTGTATGTAAGGAGTCTTTCACACAGAAGAACATTCTTCTGGTTCATTATAACTCTGTCTCCCACCTGCACAAGGTGAAGAGGGCTCTTCAGGAATCCACCACTGGTCAGCCTGAGCCTACCAGCAGCCCTGACAACAAGCCATTCAAGTGCAGCACTTGTAATGTGGCATATAGCCAGAGTTCTACACTGGAAATCCACATGCGCTCTGTTCTACATCAGACCAAAGCCAGAGCAGCCAAACTTGAAGCAGCAGGAGGAATCACTAGCTCTACAAGTGCTACTGGTTTAAGTGGTGGAGGGTCCAGCATAAGCACTTCAACATCTAGTCCAACCCCAGCCAGCAACTCAACTAGTAGCTCTACTAACCACAGTTCTTCTGGGTCTCAAGCAGCCCAGAATATTCTTGGAGGAAACCACATGAACCAGAGTCATGGCATGGAAGGGCTGGGGAATTCTTCAGTGAGCTCCCATTCTTCACCATCTGAGAATCATGAAGTAAAAAAGTCCAAATTTAGCGATATTCTCTCTGCTCGGGGGCAACAACAGCAGCTCCAGCAACAACAGCAATTGGCTCAGGCTCAAGCCCAAGCTCAAGCCCAGCTTCAGCAAGAGCTCCAGCAGCAGGCTGCTCTTTTACAATCACAGCTATTCAATCCAGCACTTCTGCAGCACTTCCCAATGACAACTGATGCACTTCTCCCCCTGCAACAGCAGCAGTTGCTGTTTCCTTTCTACATTCCTGGAGCGGAATTTCAGCTGAACCCAGAGATCAGTATCAGCAACTCAGCACTCGGCCTAGCAGGATCCTCCACCTCCTCGCTCCTGGAAGATCTAAAAAACTCAGCCCAGCAGGCCCAGCAGAGTTGCTTGCAGCAGCAGTTGATGCACCACCACCTTCAGCAGCAACACCAACAGCAGCAGCAGCAGCAGCAGCAACAGCAGCAGCAACAGCAGCAGTCTCACTCACAGGTTCAGAGTCAGATGGCGTTGCTGCAACAGAGTGCATCGCTCCTTCAGCAGGCTGAAAAAAAGCAGAAATCTTCCTCCTCTCAGAATGAGAAAGAACGAGAAATACAAAGAGAGAAGGATTTAGGTGAAAAAAACGAGGACTATATAAACAAAGATCCTACAGACACCAAGGCGAAAGAAAAAAAGGACATTCAGCATATTTCAATAAACATAAACCATGATACTGGCTTGCCTCCACCAAGGATTGCTTCAGATGCTCGAGGAAACGCAACCAAAGCCCTGCTGGAAAACTTTGGGTTTGAGTTAGTAATTCAGTACAATGAAAATAAACAGAAAGCTCAGAAAAAGACAGCTGGACCTGCTGGATCAAGTGGTCCAGGTGGAATAACAAGAGTGGTGGACCCCATTGAGGGATTAGAGAAACTGGAATGTGAAGCCTGTGGCAAGCTGTTTTCAAACATACTGATTCTAAAGAGTCACCAGGAGCATATCCACCAGGCCTTCTTTCCATTTCGATCCCTTGAGAGATTTGCCAAGGAATACAGAGAGCATTATGATAAACTCTATCCACTGAGACCTCCTACACCAGAGGCTGCTCCGGCTCCTCCACCGCCTCCTCCTCCACCTCCACCGCCTCCTCCGCCCCAAAGAGCTCCCACACCAAATATTCCTGTCTCTGCTGCCTCACTCACGCCTCCAACTGTACCTCCACCACAGCCACCAGTTCAAATGACACAAATACCCATGCCGATGGATTTGCCCCTGTTCTCGCCGCTCATGATGCAGCCCATGTCTCTCCAGTCGTTGCCCACTCAGCTGCCTCCCCAGTTACCATCCGTTGAGCCAAGCTTGGCATCGGACCTGGCCCAGCTCTATCAACAGCAACTTACACCAGCCATGCTACAGCAGCAGCAGAACAAAAGGCCACGGACGCGCATCACGGACGACCAGCTGAGGGTCCTGCGACAGTACTTTGACATCAACAATTCACCGAATGAGGAGCAGATCAAAGAGATGGCCGACAAGTCAGGGCTGCCACAGAAAGTCATAAAGCACTGGTTCAGAAACACCCTTTTCAAAGAACGGCAGCGCAATAAAGACTCGCCGTACAACTTCAATAATCCGCCAACAACAACTCTAGAGGACACCAAAGTCGATTCCAAGCCTCCTTCACCTGAGCCTCAGAGACAAGAACTGTATGGAAGTAAGAGATCATCCAGAACTAGGTTTACTGACTACCAGCTACGAGTTCTGCAGGATTTCTTTGACGCCAATGCTTATCCTAAAGATGATGAATTCGAACAGCTCTCCAATCTCTTGAGCCTCCCCACCCGCGTCATTGTCGTGTGGTTTCAAAATGCTCGCCAGAAGGCAAGGAAGAATTATGAAAACCAGGGTGAAGGAGGAAAAGAGGGCGAAAGGCGAGAACTGTCAAATGACCGATACATACGCACATCAAATCTGAACTACCAGTGCAAGAAATGTAGTCTGGTTTTCCAGCGTATCTTTGATCTAATAAAACACCAAAAGAAGCTGTGTTACAAAGATGAAGATGAGGAAGGACAGTATGACAGCCAAAATGAGGATTCACTGGATCTTTCCCATGAATGTTATACTCCCTCTGGGTCTTCCTGTCACACTCCAATGCCCTCCTCTTCAAGTCTCTGCCCGCTTCCACCCTCGACTTCAGCATTCTCGCACCTCCCATCCGCTGAGAAAGAGGAGGCATCACCAGCAACCAGCTCAAACCTCTACGACGAGAAGCCCAAGCAGTTACCTGAAATCTCCGCCGATCTACGAGAAAACCAAACCTCCATTAAGCAGGAAATTGTGCACCAACCCCAGTCTGAGGCGCAACATCATAGACCTCAGAGAGACGAGAAGATTCAAAAGTCCATCAAGCACTCCTCTCCCTCCTTCTCTCAGCAACAACAGCAGTGCGGTCCCTCGGCCTCCCAGACAAGTCAGGCCTCGTCGCAAAGCGCTCACATGACCCTCAACCAACACCTGACCTCTGCCACACAACAACTGGCACAACAGATGATCCCATACCAGTGTGAGCAGTGCAAGATTGGCTTCCCCTCCTTTGAGCACTGGCAGGAACACCAGCAATTACACTTCCTTTCTGTGCAAAATCAATTCATCCACCCCCAGTTCCTTGACCGTCCAATTGACATGCCATTCATGCTATTTGATCCCAGCAATCCTCTTCTGGCAAGTCAGCTACTCTCTGGGGCAATGCCACAGATTCCCAGCAGCTCTGCCACTTCTCCGTCCACCCCGACCTCCACCATGAACTCCCTGAAGAGGAAGTTAGAGGAGAAAGCTAGCACTAGCCCAGGAGAGAACGACAGCACAAACAGTGGAGAGGAACCGCAGAGAGACAAGCGGCTCAGAACCACCATCACACCTGAGCAGCTAGAGATCCTCTACCAGAAGTATTTATTAGATTCAAATCCTACACGTAAAATGCTTGACCACATCGCTCATGAGGTGGGATTAAAAAAGAGAGTAGTGCAGGTGTGGTTTCAGAATACGAGAGCTAGAGAGAGAAAAGGCCAGTTTAGGGCCGTGGGGCCGGCTCAAGCTCATCGTAGGTGCCCTTTCTGTCGAGCTCTTTTTAAAGCAAAAACTGCCCTTGAGGCCCACATTCGTTCACGTCACTGGCATGAAGCCAAGCGTGCTGGATATAATTTAACTCTCACTGGTATGCTACCTGACCAGGAGACCATGCAAATAAAAATTGATGCTCTAGAGACATCAGGTTACTCCCAACTAGCCCCCATTACAAACAGCGATGGACAAAGTTCCTCCATGTCACCAGTGAACAAAGGTTTGGATCTTTCTCCCAGGGGTCTACTGAGCCCTTCATCCATCAAAGTTGAAGGAATGGAAGATTTTGAGACTGCAACTATGTCCTCTGTGAACCTGAGCTTTGATCAGAGCAAACTTGATAATGACGACTGCTCCTCTGTGAATACAGCCATCACGGACACAACCACAGGTGATGAGGCTAATGCTGATAATGACAGTGCTGATGCAAAGCACAACCAAAATAGTGGTGATTACCTGTCTAAGTCTGGAGGCTCAGCCCCCATCCTTGAAAATGACGACCAGATGTCCTCAGGGCTAGTAAGCCCTGCAACAAGCTATTATGCTAAGGACTATGAAAACGAAAATATGATTGACCACAGCGAGACATCCAGCCTGGCTGACCCCTGCTCGCCAAGCCCTGGTGCCTCAGGCAGCAGGAGCATTGACAGTGGAGATCGACCTGGCCAAAAGCGCTTCCGAACCCAGATGACGAACCTCCAGCTGAAAGTGTTGAAATCTTGTTTTAATGACTACAGGACTCCCACTATGCTGGAATGTGAGGTGCTTGGCAATGACATTGGACTTCCAAAGAGAGTGGTTCAGGTGTGGTTTCAAAATGCCCGTGCCAAGGAGAAAAAGGCAAAGCTCAACATGGCCAAGCACTTCGGAATAAATCAGACATCTTACGAGGGGCCGAAGACTGAATGCACTTTGTGTGGTGTCAAGTACAGCGCTCGCCTCTCTGTTCGTGACCACATCTTCTCCCAACAACACATCTCTAAGGTCAAGGATACCATTGGCAGCCAGATTGATAAGGAGAAAGAATACTTCGACCCAGCCACTGTCCGCCAGCTTATGGCCCAGCAAGAGATGGACCGCATTAAGAAGGCCAATGAAGTTTTAGGACTCGCACAGCAGCAGGCCATGCAGCAGCAGGGGATGTTTGATAACCCTGCAATGCAGGCTCTGAATCTCCAGTCAGCCTATCCAAATCTGCAAGGCATCCCACCTGTCCTTTTGCCAGGGGTTGGCAGCCCCTCTCTCTCCAGCTTTAACTCATCTAATTCAGGTACGTCATCATTTGGCAGTCATTCACTGATGTACAGCAGAAATTTGAAGTGCAGAGTTGCAGATGGGTTTTTCAACTGAACTAATTAAAAAATATATCAGCCATTATTGCTCGGAATAAAATGTAATCATATATCGTTCAAACTGTGAGACCCAGTAATAATGGTACAACACCAGAACACAGTATTTCTACTCTTCTATAAATGATTTTCTCTTCCATTCAGTCAGTCCGTCACGTGCATACATTCTGTAATGTGGAATATCTTGTAGTGGCCTTTTGCCATTGTTCACATGTGTGATTAAATACACAATCTGCCCTAACTGCCAACATTTAATTATTAGATTCACAAATGCCCCAAGAGAGTGAAGGAATGGCTTGCTATGACTGACACTGACTTTGTGATTGCATTAGCTTATTGTCATTTACATAACGATTTTAATGTTGTGTGTATATCATGTTAGGCCTTGTTTTAGTTACAGATGATAAATTGTTAAAAAACAATAATAATTGCACATCCATCAATGAAAGACACCTGTTAAATCTTACTTTTTTTTTTGTCTGTATTTGCCAAATTTCCAGCTTTAACTCCTCCAAAACCTTCAAACCTCCTGAACATGCCTGGTGCCAGTGTTCCCTCACCTAGCCTCCCCACATCTGGATTGCCCAACAAGCCTCCCTCCTCATCGTCTCTTGCTGCATCCAGCCCAGCCCAGACCAACACCTCTGCTTCGCACTCAAGCCCCACCTCCACGTCCAACTCGACTCCCTCGACCACCCAGTCCAGCTCGCGACCTGACCCCCCCAAAGACCGTGACGCTGAGAGGGTAAGAGAGAAGGAGAAGGCCAAGGAAAAGACGGAGAAGCCTTCGACCCCATCGTCAACTGGAAGCACCCCTGCCCCTTCCACTTCTGCTGCCAGCGCCAAGAAGGAGAAACCAGACACAGCTGTTCCTGCCACCTCCATGCCCACACCTGGCATGGAGTATGTGGTAGACCCTGCCCAGCTTCAGGCCCTGCAGGCTGCTTTGGCGTCAGACCCCACAGCGCTCCTCACGAACCAGTTTCTACCCTACTTCATGCCTGGCTTTTCCCCATACTACACCCCACAGATCCCCGGGGCTCTTCAAGGGGGCTACCTGCAGCCAATGTACGGTATGGAGAGTCTCTTCCCTTACAACCCAGCATTGTCACAAGCACTGATGGGCCTGTCTCCAGGGTCCCTACTGCAGCATTACCAGCAATATCAGCAGAGCTTGCAGGAGGCACTACAGCAGCAGCAGCGGCAGCTTCAGCAGATCCAGCAACCCAAGGCGAGCCAAACTCCAGTTCCCCCTCAAACCTTGGGGGATCGCAAAGATTCTGCCAAAGATACGGTGAAAACAGAGGAGCAAAAGGGCAACCCCCATAGTGAACCCCCCACTTCCTCCTCCTCTTCGTCCTCCTCTTCCTCCTCCTCTTCCTCCTCCTCCTCCTCTCATAATAAAGTACCCTCTGAGCAGAGCGAGATGGATGGCAAAGCTGTGGACCCCCATCTAGACCAGTACATCGTCCCCAAGGTGCAGTATAAACTGGCATGCCGCAAGTGTCAAGCTGTTTTCACCAAGGAAGAAGCGGCGATAACCCATCTTAAATCTAACTGTTTTTTTGGTCAGTCTGTGGCAAACCTGCAAGAGATGTTGCTGCGTGTCCCCGGTGGCGTAGGTGTAGGGGCTGGAAGTCTCTACGATTGCCTGGCTTGTGACACTACGTTGGATGGGGAGAAAGCACTCAGTCAACACCTGGAATCGGCATTGCACAAACACAGAACAATCAAGCGATCAGTCAGAAATGCCAAAGAGCACGCTACTAGTTTATTACCTCACTCTTCAGCCTGCTTCCCCAATCCTAACACCGCATCTACCTCGCAGTCTGCCACTCATCCCATCAGCAGCCCCCCTCCCCCGCCAACAACATCAGCCACCATGCCATCCTCTGCTGTCTCCTCTTCCCTGTGCTCGTCCTCCTCCTCCTCCTCCTCTTCCTCCTCCTCCACGACCCCACTCAACACCACAGCTGCCGGCAAACCCTGGCCCCAGGCCCCCTTCTCCAGAGCTTTAGCTGTGAAGCCCAACGCTAGTCCCTCCTCTTCTTCCTCCTCTTTTCCTCCAGTGTCCTCACCTTCAACGGTTACCTCAAGTTCATTGAGCACCTCAGGAGTTCAGACCTCGATACCAACAGACGTCTTTACCGACGAGTCTGACTCTGACAGCAGTCAGAAGTCAGCAGACAGGCTGGGCAGGACGGCGGAGGAGCCGCAGCAGCCTGGCTTTGTCAAAGACAGTAATAGTTGTAGTAGTAATCTTGCTAGTGTAGGAACAGACTCCATCAGATTGTAAAAGAGCTTTCAGTGATGGACAATATTTAAAAAACACTAAAAAAAAGACAAAAAAAAATCACAAATGGAAAAAAAAAAAAAACATAAAAAGCAGCAATGTTAAAAATACATTAAAAGTATACAAACCAATTTCAGAAAAAGATGTGTAAAGACTAACTGCAATTCCAAAGCTTGTAACCAAAAATTTAAATGTTAGTGGATTGTTTTCCCATATCAACATGCTGGTTTTCATTTTGTATTTTATTTTTTTTTGTTTGTTTATTTTTTTTGTTGTTGTTTTCTTTTTGTTTTACTCAACTGAAATACAAGCATACTAATATGTGAGAACAGAAAAGATCGCTGCAGTTACGTTTTGGGTAATGGTAGAGGAATGCTGTACTGTATGGCAATGGACTGCCTCAAAGTTGACAAATGGCCCAAGAACCCTTTTGAAGAAATGCAAGTCAACAAGCTGTCCCTTTGTTTTCTAATGATTTCTACTTAATAGCACAGTCACAAAAAGCCAGTATGTACTGTATGGGAGAATAGTCTATCAGTTTTCTTGCTATTTAAGCATTCAGATACCAATGGCTTGCAAAAGTAAAAGAATAATGTAATGTCTATTTTATTCTCAGGTCAACAGCTCACAGATATTTTTCTGTTACAGAAATCCATGTTTTACGCCTTTTTGTTTCCAACAGGAGATGAGCATTACTTTTTTTTTTTTTTTTTCTTTCTGAACTTGATTTAACAATAGAAAGTTTTAAGTTGGATGAAATTTGAACAAGGCATTGTTTCTGGGCATTCAAAAAGGGTCAACGATTTGCCGATTTTAACATTCAAAGTCCTTTTAAAGTGGGGAAAATCACAATTATATTATACCCAGACAAGGAGAGCATTGCAGACATACTAATGGGCGATAAAAAGAGTTTTGATTAAAAAAAAAGGAAAAAAAAAAAATCAACCTTCTGTATTTATGATAGATATGAGCATTTTTGGTGTTAAGTAGATTGTTGCATTGGAAATGAATTTAAACAGTATGGTAGGTTGAAAAAAACTTTGTGTACATTTAGCTTTTGTATTGTCCAATTTTATGACACTTCATTTGATGTTGTCTTGGTCATTCCGATAGTCTAGATTATGGACAGGTAATTTATCTAAACTTTATTTCTGTCTTATTCTCAACTTCTTGGGAAACATTCACCCAAATGCCCCTCCTGACAAGGCAGGATCCTCTTTTAGAATTATTTAAATTTTATGCTTTGGTTTGGTGTTGCGCCGACCAAAAATGGAAAAAGATCCTGGGTGAAATATTGAAAAGTTTTATTTTATTTAATTTTTGTGTTACCTTTGTGCACTTATCACTGTCTGACTCCTATTTCTCACTCTTCTTGTTCCTCTTCGCACTTATTTTTCTCTGCTCTCCTGTGTTTGTAGATATGTATACTACAAAGCAGGTCTTTTGTTCTTCATGTAGTGTGGCTACAGTCTTTATTTTCATTTTGACATTTTTGTTGTCATAAATGAAAATGAAAAAAAGAATACTAATAATAATTCTCACGCTTTAAGACAAAAAGAAAATCCAAAGACTAAACACTTTCACCATTGGTGCATAAAGATGAGAAAAGAGGCTTCTTTATACTTGAGAATTTGTTGCTGTTTTTAGAGGAAAGAAAACAAAGTTTTAAAAGATAAAGGAGTACGCATCAGAGTTGCCGTTTCTGCTTCTTTGCAAGCAAACAGGTGGCTTTTTTACGTAAATACCAAAAACCAAAAAGGGCCCTTGTCCTTGCATTGTGGAGTAGCACCGTTACAGAGCCATTGCAGTTTGTAAGATAGAGGTTATTAATCTTTGTTTGACTTTTGTCACATTCAAATGTCCATTTTTTTAAGAAAATGTATAAGGTCTGGTCTTCAAGGACATACGTTTTGCTGCTAATGTAGAATTTTGAGAAAAAAAAAGAAAAAAAAAAAGAGTACCTAGATGCATGCTCATTTTGCTTTTGGCTAAGCTTTAACTAAAACAAACAATAAACCAATTTCTTGCCTCTGCAACACCTTTTTTTTTTTTTTTTTTTTTTTCCTTCTTGTTGCAAAAACGGAACTTTGAAGACTGTGAATATATGTTCCAAAGGACATTTTGCCGATTTTCTTTTTTTGAACAGACCAATGTTTAAAGCCAATGATCTATAACGTTTGTAAAGAACAGTGCATTCCAAATATCACAATGGATTTTTCTTAAGCAAGGACTGATCCTGTTTCATTTGATTGCTTTTAATTGTCACAATCTATGTTTTTTTTCTCCTCATTTTTAAAGTGACTGTAAACTGTTGTGTAAATTTTTTGCGTCATCGGTCGCCGAACAAAGCGACCTCCATATTGTCATTTTGTGCTGGCATGGAACATTGCTGAGAATCCCTCCATCCAGTCAAGGTTGTTGCTCACTTGTTAAGCAAGTAATAGTGGTTACCAAAAAATGTATATAATACATCTGGTACTGATGCGTCTCATAGGTTTAGTAACGTTATGCCAGTCAACCTACAACTAGTCTCAGAGGGAAATAATGGCTGTTTTGCTGTGGTGTCGTCGCCCCCTTTTTTCCTGGGAGGTCTACCAGTGACTTGTCGCATGTGTCTGCAGGGTGCCACTTCCACACATAGATTACAGGTTTTTAAAAGGGACATCTTCATTCCAAAGCATTATTTCTGGAAAAAGTAGGAGGTTTTTTGAAGATGTCCCTTGTTTTCAAATAGTTAGGATGCTTTCATGTCCAAAGAAGTCGCCTACTTCATTTTGTTGCAATGAAAATGGATGTGCATAGGTACATACACACACACACACACACCTTCCCACTGATGATCTAAAATTTTTATTTTTTGAACCAAAACCAACGCATATTTAAATTTGTGAAGAACTACTTCTTGGCCACCGTTGTACAGCCAATATATTCGCCCTATTGAATCCGAGGCACAATCTCAGAAGTGTTTAAAAAAAGATAAAAGTGCTACGTCTTGCAGAGAAATGTGATTTGGTGTTAAATACCATAGCATGCTGTTGGAAGTCAGTAGATCTGGTCTGCAAGCTTGCTACTTCTCAAGTCCAGTTCCCTGAAATACTGTTCATATGTACGTTCTTATTTTGAGAAATTCTTAAGTTGTACAGTTTTTTTTTCCTCAAATATGTTTGCTTTATTTTAATTTTCAGACAATGTCGGACATGTATTGTTATTTTCTTATAAGTATTTGTATTTTTATTTTAGTTCCTGTATATTACTTTTTATCATAAATTAACACTAGCTTTAATTTGAATTGCTGAAATTAAGAAACAAAAAAAAAACCTATGACCTGGCCACTTTATGGTGTGATAATAGTCTTTATATTCATTGTCTCAATGATACCGTTTGCTCTCTTATTTCCAAAGTGTAATCCTTTGAGCTCTTCTGTGGGAGATGGAGTTGAGGTCTCCACATTAGATACAGCCAGCATGGACTGTGTATGGGTTTGTATGTTTGCGTGTGCGTGTGAGTGTTTCATAAGAGCCAGCATCAATTCAACTTTTCTTTTTCTTCTTTTCCTCGTTTGCCTTTTTATTTTCGTTATATGTTACACACCAAAACAACCTGAACCACAAAGCTGGATTATGAATATCGGGAAATTTAGAAACAAAATCCAATTTGAAAGATAACGACCAGATGATACCGAAGCACTGAGCAGTTTTTACTTTGATTGAATATATGAATGTGGCCAAAGCTTTATGCAGTTGAAACAAAAAGAAAAAAAAAAATAAAACTGTGCCCCAGATAAGTGTATATTTTATTGTGGCACAAAAACGCTATTGTGGAGACGTGGATCCACTGACTTACATTGGGATACTTGATTTAATGGACAATTACAAGAGAGAGATAAAGACAAGGTTTTGCTGTAGAGGTCATCTTTTGCCCACTGTGAAAACGAACGTGTACCTGTATACAGATATAGATATATTTAAAACAAGACATCAACTTTTTTTTCTTTGTTGTTTTTCTTTTTTGTTTTGTTTTGTTTTTGAGATGAAGAAGGAATGAAAAGCTTTTTTTTTTTTTTCTAAAAACGGACTCTGGGAAGCTTTGGAGATCTTGTTAGGAGGACACGAGAGGCTGTGGGCACACCAAAACTGGGCATGGGAGCCGAAGGCAGGCTCGAAACAGCTTTAAAAACCACCTCCTTATTTGATTACTGACAACTCTGTAATGGGAACGGACTCTGGAACCAATGGACATGTGTGACACACAGAGGAAAGTCCTTAGATGAAACTGAACTTTAAGTGGCTCCAGCTGCCTCTTTCTCCTTTCTGTCTGTCCTTTCTTTCTCCAGCTCTGCCTCTGCTTCTGCTCTTTGATGGACATTTTCCAAATTTCAGGACAGGATGGACAGAGATGCTTGCTTCATTTCTTCCAGTTCATGTTGCTACCCGTTTCATTTCCTTGTGCTTGTCTCTGGTTGACAAGTAAAGCTCTCCAGTCAAATGGCGGCTCACCCCTCTCTCTGTTGGTTACATAATCTAACTAGAGAAATTAATAACATAGAGAGGGGATGGGTTCTCGACGCTGTCATTCTTAAGGAGGCAGTTACACTAAAAAAGCGTATTAACCAAAATTAACAACCAAACTAACAACCAAACAACCATTTGCTCCAAACTTCAAAGATGAACTGTTACTTGGAGCTCTCTGTTCCTTTTGTGACTTCTGGTGCCACAATGTTTTTTTAATGCTTTTAGTTTTTTCCTTTTTGTTTTCCTTGAATTACTCCTCCTTCGAGCCTCATAAGCATGGCTCTGTGGCTCCAGGCAGCCCATCTGAGGGTAGAAAAAAACAGCCTTGCAATGTACAAAAAAGAGCAAGTTAAACCAAAAATGTTGTTCTTGATGTCTTTTCTATACTGTAGTCTTGTTAGCTTTTTTGTTACTGTAATTATATGAAGATTTCCAAACTGTACCAAATTACATGGAAACTAACATACATACAACCACATGGAACTTCAGACTTTTAAAGAAACTTTTGTCACAAAACCTTGTTGTCCTAGTTAAGTTGATTGTAGATGGTAATTGAATATACTCCTTTGAAAATATTTCATCAAGTATGTTTCTTGCTCATTGTGATACATTAAAAAAGTATGAGCATAACTGCACTGCTGTGGACTTGTCTTTGACTGCTGTGGGGTTTCAAGGTTAAAGGGAAGCACTTTGTAGGTCATCTCACCGTGCACGGATTCTTTCACACATTTCATGGGACGTCATCGTAAAATAAGTTCCTTTATCAAACTTAGTTCTACTTAATTTGTGGTTTTCATAATTCCTTATTTGATTTTGTGTGTATTTTTCTTACTGTTTTTAATTGAATTTGTTCAGCATTTGTAGCAACAAAGGGATAAAATGCAGCAAAAACTACATAAATAACACCATATTTCTATGTCTTATGTGACATGTTAGCGCTGTTGAGTATCATTTCTAACTCATTCTCCTACTCATGTAAAACTGCCATAAGGTTAAAAAAAGAAAAGTGCACACGAACACTTTGTGACAGGCAGGTTCAGTGGTCCCAAAACACTATGGGAAGATTCAGATATGCAAAAAATATCAAAACACATCCAAAACACAGAAAAAAGGAAATGCTACAAACCTATGTGTTCAACTGGAGGTGCTTTAAGTCAGCAGGTGAGTGATGAGCTTGATCTGATCTATCTGCAATACAGAGAGGCAACAATTCAACCGCTCTCAACAGCATCTAAGAACACCACATTTGAACTTGCGCTTGAAAACGTGATGTTCTTGTTGACACCAGCAGGTAAATTGGACTTTGGTGAATGTATTTTTAATACCGCTGTACCTTACTATACCGCAGAGGTGTCCAATCCTGGTCCTGGAGGGCCACAGTCCTGCATGTTTTAGATGTTTCCCTTCTTCCGACACACCTGATTCAAATGATCAGCTCATCATCAAGCTCTGCAGAAGCCTGATAACGATCCTGATCATTTGAATCAGGTGTGTTGGAAGAGGGACACATCTAAAACATGCAGGACTGTGGCCCTCGAGGACCAGGATTGGACACCCCTGCTATACAGTGACAAACAGGGAGAACATGATTGTCTTCCCTTGTGCACACAGGTAGCTGTGAACAACATGTTAAACTACCTTCTAGCCATCTTGCAGGCCTGATGTGTTGCATACATGTGGAGCAGGTTGCTGTCTGTGTATTCCATGCATGCACACTGCTGCCAGTCATGTGCGTTACTTCCCTTGCAGCAAAGTCGCCGCGCAGACACACATCTTAGGTTGTCATGGATGTGTGCAGAGGGCTTCACGTGGACCTTTACGTACATGGACGCAGGCCCGGACGACAACAGAACTGTACTGACGACAGACACTTCATCAACCCCTCTGAGGCCTCTGGGTTTCACTGACTTTCTTTATTGAGTGAGCATCCAGGTGAGATCATTCCTTTGTCTTGTGACGTGTGTTTCATTGCTGTGCTAGCATTAAAATTATGATCTTTGTACCTTCATAAATAAGTTAACTAACTTAGTTAATATGAATTTTTACGAGTTAACATAGGTAAACGGTAAAAACAAAGTATGTCTGATTTTATTTAGAACGTAATCCCAGCTGGCTAACTGGAACTGAACATGCCATGATAGTGGGTTCTGAAGGTAACTAACAAAGCTAAAGGCAGCTAACAGAGCCTGCTTCATGGTTAATTGTATGCATTTGAATTGGTCGGCTCATAATAAGCAAACACGAGGTTAACTACCCATTTTCTGCTTGTCTCTGCGTTAGGATGTGCTTTCAATATTTGCAGCATTTCCATTGAACGCTGCCTGTTTGTCAGTTTGGTGAATGTGTCTTCTCTGTTTTTTTATATATTTACCAGCCTCCTTCCAAACTCAGTCGACCTGATTGTCTGTTAAACGTCTGTAACTGTCCAGTTTTTTCCTTCTTTGATCGGTTTGTTTTTAACCAGCTTGTCTTTGGACTTCACCTTTTCCCTTTTACCAACCTCTGCCTGCCTGCCTGCTGACTTCTCCCTCACCTTGTCTTACTCGCATTACCTTCAGTAAAAGTTCAACTGTTTGAACTTTTAATTGGTGTCCGAGTTTTACAATCCGTTCATGCTCTTTTATGAGCCACGACAGCAGATACCTGGTCAGACGAGGCCCAATGAGATTCACTGCTTGATGTCATATATTAGCATACGAGCTACAAACGGCCACATTTAGCCTCGGTGGCTCAGATTCACTGCAAACTCTGTGCAAAGTCTGTTTTAGGGATTCAGAATCTCCCTCCGCCATTCGAACGCCGTACCGATGTTCACTGCTGAAAACAATACAAAGCGCACAGTAAGCAGTGTGTAGTTCAGGGGGCTCGGGATTTTGGATCATTCCCAAAGAAAACAGAACGGGCCCTGCTCTGCCTGTTGAGCAAAATTGAATTCTCAGCAGACAGTGAGATAGAAAGAGACTGGCAATAATCAGTTACACTTGTGAGCCGTCTCTCCTCGTGTGTTGCGGTTAACGTCAGCGATTGTACCTTTTGTTAAAAGTCTTGTTGGTCAAACTTTAATGGCTTTACGCTGTTTTAATTAGTGAGTGGGGTGATTTTGTTCAGATCCCCTCTGCCAATGAAATTATATCTGCCCATGCATATATTGGTAGGGACTGTTAGTGCCCCGGCCTAATTAGTACATGTTAAGCAACAAGTTCTTCTTAATTAGAGGTGGCTGTGTGCAGCTAATGTAATCAAAGGCACTGACAATCAAGCTTTAAAAAAATACCCCAAATCAGAAGCACTGTAGGAATTAATACAAGAAAAAAAAAGCTGTATAAATTATATTAAATGTAAATTCTGATCTTAAAATAACAATTTTCTGTGTGTTTTAAATATAGAAAAGATCGTAGCAACCATTCGCTAAAGTTGGGATGCTTCAGAGTTTGCAATCTGGAAAACCTAAGTACGCTGCTGCCTCTTCAGTTTTTACACACATTTCCTCAAACAACTGTGTAAAAACTATTAAACCCACTGTTGTTGTGTCTCGCCTTGACATACCTCCTCCTGTCAGTGGCTGACTTGTGCAACAAATCTGTCATATTTGAGAGAAAACGCTCAAAAACAGAATATTCAAAAATCTCAAAGATACGCGTCCTTTCTAAAATAAAAACCCAAACGTTTCATTTAGATAAACAGAGAAAAACTTTGATTTGTTTCTAGTCTCTGATAGTATTCTGCTGCTATCTTTGAAGTGCTGTATTTCTCAGACATTGAATAGTTTCATATTTTATCCATAAACATGATGTGAAGCTTTAAAGCCGTGCCACTCTGGGAGGAAAATCCCTAAAAACCGAAGAGACAACGGACCTCTGAGGAGAGTTTAAAGATGAGGACATCCTGTGGCAAGCAACAGGCAAGATTCATTGGCCATGTTGAGCCAATTAACACGCAAGGGCACATCCCGAATGAATTAAAAACACCCTAATCCGATCAGTGTGAAAAGCAAGGCCATTTCCTTCACAGGCCTGGACCAGATGGCACTCACACTCAGATGCTGCATTGAAACAGGCCAGGCCCAGTCACACACTGTGAAATTGGGTTAGCGCCTGAGTCTAACATAGGCCCTGGGCAATGTGAGCTCCGTAACCCATTCTCCCTTGGCCTAAAGGTACAGGGGCCACCTTGCCAATCTTTGGCCCCATATTTAATTATCATTCTCAATGCACCTCACTAACTCAGTCATTTAAGTCAGAGGTGCAGCTGACAGCTTCCTAGAGTCATTTTTCTCTTTCGACCAGTCAACCCTTTACATGTCCCAAATAGGCCCTGACATACCACAGAATGTTCTCCTCCGTAGTACAGAAGACAAGCACAGCTCCACTGGATAGAATATCACAGACTCTAATTGTATACTTTGACCTGAGTTGGGTGGTGTTACCATGCTGAGGTCTAAGCTCTTGCTTTGTTGGCATAATGGCTTGTTGGGGTTTCCAAAGCGTCTCGGTATCAGCTTTCAAACTTTGCGAGGAATAAATGGGACGAATGTTGGGTGATTCTCCTCAAAATGACTTTAAAAGCTGTGGTTGTGCCATGTCAACTTGGGCCATGTTTTGAATAAAGAAAACAGCCCTGCAAGGTTGGTATTTCCACTTGACACAACAAAGGCAGAAAATTAGAAGCAGAGGCTGTGAGCACACCACCACACATCTCAGCATCCAAAGCCAAACTGCTTTGGTCATAGCATCCTGCCTTCATCTTAGCCGAGGGAGAGGAGTCGCCCCGGCCAACGAGTCCTGTTCCACAGAGACACCCAGAAATGTGAATTTGTTGAAACTACCCTAAACGCTGTATCGACATCGTAGAGTATGAGGATGAATTTGACGAGAACTGCAAAAAAGTTAAAGTTAAAACTCGTACTTTTGGAGGCTTTAAGAAAAAATTCCATTTAAAATTATGTGTAAACTGTTCTTAACAGCACTGAAGTAGCAAATTGAAGTGTGTCAACTGCAGGTACTGTGGACATACTGGATACGTTTACGACTAAGCCAATGAAAGACCGAGCTAAGCTGAACTGCTTTGCACATGAGCAGCTTGCACTGCCGCTGTCAAGGGTTAACCCCTGACAGGCAGTCTGGTAAAATAACATGGTTGACTGTGAAGAACAGGAATTTCAGCGCCAATAGTCGACACACACACCTACAGCTCTTCCCACCCCCTCTTTGCCACATTGTCTTCCTCCACTATCAATGTCAAAGGCAAATTGCGCTACAGCCTTGAGGACAGGTCAAACTAATTCAATATAATCTGTCACATGAAATGACGGGTGAGGGAGGATCTAAGAGGAATTGAATGGGATAAAAAATTAAAAACTAGCTCCGTTTCTTTTGAATTATGACCTGAAGTTTCCACATTCAAATTGGGTTAATACATCTTCACATCACACTGTGTACACAGAGAAAACCACGACATAACACACAGTGTAAGTCCCCAGATGTGATGGTTAACTCAGCGGCCTATAAACTCCACCTTGCTGGCTTCTCCGATCGCATGGGATTCATGCTGGGGAAGGTGTGGAGTGTGTCTTGGCAGGCTTTGGGCCTTGCCGAAGCATTTCCCATCTCCTGAACACAGGATCAGGTGTCGCCAT